AAATGATGTTTCATTTTGGAAACTATATCAATATCCCTATACAAGTACAAGTGCAACTTAAAAATTTGTACTTTTTTTTTTATGTTAGAGCAATTTAGATACTCAAAAATGATACTCATACTGTCTTTTTGGTTCATTTGATTTCTTTTAGGTGTTTTTAAGTTAATTTAATTGTACAATTCTTGTTCACAAAGCTTTTTTTTTTCTGCCTTCTTAAGTGAAATTTTGAAAACCCTAGGTGGGCAACCCTATTGACTATTGTCAACTGACACATGTGGCGAATGGACCTTTTTAGTGTGGTGAATTTGGTTTGGACCAATATAATTTTAAGGTAAAATCGAAATAGGATGTATCGGTACCATAAAAATTATTCTTTATCAAAATTTCATTGTATTTAATAATATAATAAGCATCTAGTCTGAAAAATGATATGTGCATATTTATAAAATTATAATATTGATTAAAGCCTTGTATATTAACTGCTTCTTTATAATGAAATTTCATCCCTACATTTCTGTTGAAAAAAAAAAAATTGTTGAAGAATCAGCCTACACTAGTCTTCAGCTACTTGACCAGCTTATGGATGTTAAAGCAGATGGAATTAGAAAATGTGAAAAACATTCTGAATGACAGGTATTCTGAGGTATCTTGAAACCATGTAACTGGGAATTTCAAAATTATTTTCAATGTTTCCATCGCCTTGGCTCTGTGAATGAGAATAATGGGCCTAACAATGATGTCAACATTGTGATGTGGGAAATTATTTAAACTATCCCCCTTTGCTTTCACAACACTGACAACACTATTGACTTTTGTCACTGCAGGGGGGCACAGAACTGAAAATGGAACAGGGCACTCCTAAGTAACTTGAAAATCTGCAGTAGATTCATCAAGACAAAATTAATACAGATAATGTAGATACTGAATTGTTCATGTGAAATAACGGGTGGAGAATGAGATTAGGGGTGCCTTGAGTACAAACGTAACAAGAATTGAACCAATAATTTTGCAGCTTGTTAATGGGGAAAAAAAAAGGAATATTAAATTTTGAATAGAAATTTGTTAAGAATTTGATTAAAATTAAGAGCTTGGTTCTTCATTTAATTTAATTTTAGTATTTCATCATTTACATTATTTATTGTGGTAAATTTTACTTTTCACTCACCTTCGCCACTGCTATAGTACAGGCCACTGTAGCTTTTTGGGAAAAAGAGGTTGCCCACCTTTTTTCTGTTTTTTTTTTCTGTAAGGGGGGGGGGGGGCAGGGTAGTAGTTCCTTTTCAGTCTGCCCTTATGCCTTACTTATGGCAGCATAGTTCTCTCATTTGTTCTTTTCTTAACGATTGTCCCGACCCAGGCTGAAAATCAAGCGGGTAATCATGTTCCACCAGGTTTGGTAACCAGGAATCCTGGAGGGATAAGAACAGACACTACATCCTGACCTTAGCCAACGGGCCGAGAAGCAATCAGACTTGTTGGCTGTTAGTTGGGCTCTTATTTGTTCTTTTCTTACCGATCGTCCCGACCCAAGCTGAAAATCAAGCGGGTAATCATGTTCGTTCCACCAGGTTTGGTAACCCGGAGGGGCAAGAACAGACACTACATCCTGATCTTAGCCAATGGGCCGAGAAGCGATCAGATTTTTTGTCTGGGCTTATTTAGCTAATCTTGTTGCCGAACTATGTTGAATGTATTGGGGAATATGAAATTAATAAAGCAAAACAATGTGGGCCTACACTGTATCCGGTCTACAAAAGAGTTGAGGTTTCGCTAGCTACCAAGCAAATAGTAACAATTTGTCGACTTGTAAAACTCTTTTTTTTTTTTTTTACTCACCATATTTCAGTGCAATCCTATATTATATAATACACAATGTATTTAGCTTAAAATTAAACAAACCCTAATAACAAAGTTTTTCGTAAAAATCTTTTACATGCATTTTTTTATTATTTTATTTTTTTATTCTATTTCCCACCCGCTTTTACACAGAAGATTTAATCAGGCCCGTTCTGAGGTAGGCATATACGCTGACTACGCATCCGCATAGGGCCCCGAACGTGAGGGGGCCCCCGTGAGGCGCCCTCGATCCCCCGTTTTTTTTTTAAATTGGCACTGCAGCCGTCTGTGTCACTCGCGTTACCTTCCTCATCCTGAAATTTATCATTCTGACTTGAATTCGGAGGCAGGGGAAGGGAAGCAGCAGGGGGGGGAGCTTTGGGGAAAGGGGGGGGGAAGAGAGGAAATCGGGGGCTTGGTCGTGGGAATGGGAAAGAGGAAACATTGATGCAGGCAGAATGGAGGTGCCGCAGTGGTGGGTGGTGTTTTCTCCTCAGCTCGAGGGAGGTCCACCCCCGGACCCCCCCCTTCCGGGGCCCCCAACCTACGCTCCATGCTTAGGGCCCCCAAACTCCTAAGAACGGCTCTGATTCAATACACAAAATTAACTGTTTCAGAAAAACAAATACAAATATTACGTACCAATCGCACCTGAGAAAAAAATCCAACAGAAATTGAACAAGCTCATTTAAAAAATGTATGCACACGTTTTTTTTTTATCATTAGCAAACCTCGAGTTTATTGGCATGATATTTAATTGAGCAAAATAACATTTAAGATTACAATACTTAGTGATTAAACAATGAGCACTCATTATGTCCTTCATTCCATCAGTCAGTTATTTAATGTTATAAAATGTTCACTTTTATATATTATATAGATCTCTTTGGTGCCCGCATTCGTACAGGGTCCTAATGGATTTCCTCGGCTGTTTCGGACTCTGCAGAACCTCCTGACAGTAATCAATTAATGTTTAGGTATGTACAAAACTAAACATGCTGTCATGTTTTCATTCCCCATGCCACCCCCACCCCCACCATTACTTTTAAACTTTTGTTTCTTTCTGTCAAGGGGCCATCCATAAAGTACGTCACACTATTTTTTACCATTTTAACCCCCCCCCCCTCCTGTCACAAATATTGGACNAAATATTGGACACCCCCCCCCCCCCCAAAGTACGTCACACTTTTGAACAAAATTTTTTTTAAAATTAACACCTAATTAAAATTTAATCTAAAATACACTTCACTATTAAACTGTATTAAAATGTAAAATTTCCACTTAAAAGAACTACCACATTATTAAAATGACTTTAATAGTAGAATAGTGAATTGTCAACAGTTGTCACAGTTATTCATTGAGGCAGTAACTCAATCTAGATTGAATTTGAAAACAACAATTGCAAAAATTAGACTAGACAATTATATAATACACCATTTAATTTATCTGCTGCTTTTTCATTTACAACAGGTGAAGTCAAGTTTTAGATGATCTTCCTATCATGCAATCTCTTTACACAGGATAAGAAGTAGATTAGTGAAAAGTGACCTCACCCAGTGATTAAATAATAAAAAGGAAACAAAACAATTTGACTTAAAAAAGACTAGATTGACAAATTGTGTGACAAACTCTTGTGCTATATTGAATCTGTTTATTATGGGCCTGTGAATTTTGTTTAATTCAAAAATATTCACTGGACATCATCCATGGTGAAGGGAAGTATTCATCCATAGTTACGAATGGCATCAACCTTTCACCATCATCGTTTCCTGGAAGGATAATTGCAGACAGATCAACTTCATCCTTATCTAGCCACTCAACATCCTCTGAATGTGCATTTTCTCTTCTGACAATAACTGCCATGAGTTCTCTTTGCCTTCTAGCAGCGATTCTCAAAGGACGGATGAGTTTTATCTGAGTTGATTCTAGAACAGTTTGGGTTGGCACATTCTCCCGAGCCTGAGCTCTGTGTTGTCCTGCATTTTTCTTCAACACTGTTTGTGAGGCAAAGTATAAGTGACATACTTTGCAAATTCGATCAAGTAAGCTGATCTGCAAAGATGGACAATAAAGATCATATAGTTGTACTTTGAAAACTCCTGTTGATCTCGGCATAATGTCATCAAATTTGAGAGTTTATATAAATATTACCTCTGAATCCTAACAATTTTGTATTATAATAATTACTATTATATGTAAAAAATAAATTTCGAATTTCTCGCTCAGTGACATAGATCTAATTATGCAGCGGACAACATAGAAATAATAATACTTCTGGCATGACGAAAGCAATGCTATACATAAAACAAGGCTTTGCAACAGCATACTAGCGCTGCTAGCGAGAGGAATCGTGAACAACACATTCAGGAGATACGCATTTCATGGTATTTTGACATAAAACTCATTCAAATGTTTCACAAAATTTTTGAAAATTATTTTTAAAGCTATTAAATTCTACTAAAAAAAAAATAAAAAATAAATTAGAAATAAAATTTTAACAAAATAAATGGCCTGAACCCCCCCTCCCCCTGTCACACTTTCTTACACCCCCTCCCCCCACTGGAGCGTGACGTACTTTATTAATTTTTTTTAAATATAAATTTATGTTTTAATCTATTTCAACCCCATGAATTAATCGCAGTAGTAAATTAGGCCTACAGGTTTGCCTCGATTTTTATTTTTGTGCTTTTTTCTTCAGAGAAATTTTTTTTTTTAATACTTCATTCACTACTACGTACAGAGAAACGAGTGTTGAATTGTAAGGTGAATATGATGCTGCAGTGAGTATGGTCCAGGATTAAGTATATTATGTTTAAAATAGCATTTTTTTTAAAAAACAATATTGAATACCATAACATTTAAATTTAATAGCAATCTTGCGCGACATTAACACTCCCTGTCTATAATTTAACATGATACCATGCATTGTATGGTCATATTTAAAAATAAAACTGCAACATCTTCCTGTCAACACAGTCATCTTGCTGTCAACACAGTCACCTTGCTGTCAACACAGTCACCTTGCAGTAAACACAGTCATCTTGAGTCTTGCCATACTGGGAGCGACCACAAACAACCAAACAAACAAAAGGAGACAATAATAAAAGAAACAAACCAGGATGTCACCACTAGGAAATCCAACTTTTTATTTTGACCCCAATGAACTAGACCTTTTGTGAGCTGGGTGCATTTGTCAACAGTAAAGAGTTGTGTGCGTATGTCAACAAAAAAAAGTTGTGTGCGTATGGCAACAGTAAAAAGTTGTGTGCATATGTCAACAGTCAAGAGTTGTGTGCATATGTCAACAGTAAAAAGTTGTGTGCTTATATCAACAATAAAAAGTTGTGTGCGTATGTCAACAGTCAAGAGTTGTGTGCATATGTGAACAATAAAAAGTTGTGTGCATAAAAATACATCCATGTATGTCAGGTGATTTTTTGGATAATTTTCACCGCCTCTCTCGACCCCGTCACAAATCTCAGACAACCCCCAAACCCTAATGTATGTCACACTTTCAAACTCAAAAAAACAAACATACTATTAATTTATAAAAGTGAAATCTTCTGTCCGTAAAAATACATCTACCACAACAGAAAGTTCAACGTCACTGTCAAATTCAGGTTTTATATTATGATAAAAAATATACAATTTGTAACATTATTCAGCTAGAAATTGGGGGGGGGGGGGTTTAATGTTTAAATAGACACTTTCTTAGAGTCCCCCCCCCATCTAGGTTGCAAAATACTTTATGAAAGGCACATAAGTGACGGTAAGGAGTTGTGAGCATATGTCAAGTTCAAACTTTAAGTTGACAGGCAGACAGTGATAAAACTATACTTAAACTACTCCTTCCTAGGTCTAGGTCTTACATCATCATCAGTGGCACTACACCCTTGCCTGCTCACATCATCATCAGTGGCATTACAGCCCATGTACGTCCCTTGCCTGCTCACATCATCATCAGTGGCATTACAGCCAATGTACGTCCCTTGCCTCCTCACATCATCAACAGTGGCACTACAGCCAATGTACATCCCTTGTCTGGTCACATCATCAGTGGCATTACAGCCCATGTACGTCCCTTGCCTGCTCACATCATCATCAGTGGCATTACAGCCCATGTACGTCCCTTGCCTGCTCAACCACATCCGTCCATTTGGATCAATCCATGGCTTTCCAGCACCATACAAGGATCCCAAGCTGGTCTATGTTCTTTTCTACATCGTCGATCCATCTGTCTTCGATGACCGGTGAGCTGTCTGCCCCTAGGATTCTGTCTATACATGTCTTTTGCTGTACTACAATCCATAATCCTCTCAAGGTGTTCTGTCCAGCTCAGTCTGCTTTTTTAAATTATTGTGACTATGGGTGGGGTCTTCCAACAAGTGACAAAATCTCTTGTTTTGTACGGATTTTCCATCCATCATTGTCTATCACAGAACCATATATTCTCCTGAAGATTTTCCTCTCCCATGTGTTGAGCAGATTCTCTGTGTTTCTGGTAAGGGACCAAGTTTCACTTGTGTATATAACAACTGGTCTTGTAATAGTCATGTATATCGCCTTCTTTGTTCTCCTCGAGAGGCTCTTGCTTACTAGCACAAGGTCTTAAGTCTTACTAACTCTAAGCATTACTAGACCCAATAATTACTAGACCCAAGGATTACTAGCCCCAATAATTACTAGACCCAAGGATTACTAGACCCAATAATTACTAGACCCAAGGATTACTAGCCCCAATAATTACTAGACCCAAGGATTACTAGCCCCAATAATTACTAGACCCAAGGATTACTAGCCCCAATAATTACTAGACCCAAGGATTACTAGCCCCAATAATTACTAGACCCAAGGATTACTAGCCCCAATAATTACTAGACCCAAGGATTACTAGCCCCAATAATTACTAGACCCAAGGATTACTAGCCCCAATAATTACTAGACCCAAGGATTACTAGCCCCAATAATTACTAGACCCAAGGATTACTAGCCCCAATAATTACTAGACCCAAGGATTACTAGCCCCAATAATTACTAGACCCAAGGATTACTAGCCCCAATAATTACTAGACCCAAGGATTACTAGCCCCAATAATTACTAGACCCAAGGATTACTAGCCCCAAGTATACAGGGATATATCTTACCCAAAAAGGCACTATTTATTCGCACTATTTATTCCAAGGTCTTACAATGAGATCAGATATCTTAGGCATTTTGGCAGACACAAAGATTTTTGGTGCACAATTATAGTGTATAAATCAATTACAATATAACAAACAATAAATAAAACTGTAAAAAACTGACAATGATGTCCAGCAATACAAAATATTAATAATGAAAAGGATTTCTATAACAAAATTATAAGAGTCCATAAAAATATCACTTATATGACTGGAATGGGCCGGAACATACTACTGAGTGCTGTCAACAATAACAGAATTATAGTGGCAAATAAACAAACGACAGACATTTCTTCAAGTATAACATACGAAAATTCAATTATACAAAAATTCACTTATACAAAAATTCAATTATTCAAAATTTAAACATTCATACATTGACATACTCATAATATGTGTGATTTTCAATTTAATATTAATTATTGATGTGAATTGATGCTGATCATAGCAATCTGTCGGCATGAAATATTCAATCGTCAACATTCTTTGTGTATAATTTGCAAAGGCAATGTCTCAATCAGAAAATGATATATAATGTTCATACATATTTCAGAAATACTCTTTAAGTTCACATAATTATATTCTATCAGTAATGAAAAATATGGATCAGCCAAATATCATTGATCACATCTGAAGTCATGGCCACAGATTTTGCCCAATTTACCCAACACATCTTTTTATGTGAGTTTGGCACTAGCAGGCAGTTGGACAGCTCACAATTAATTATGTTAATTAAAATTAAACCATATTTATTAGAATCCATCATACCATCGTGAACAAATAATAAAAAAAACTCTGTCCACATGCAGCTGTGTCGCCACTATCATAGATTCAAACATTACTTTGTATTATTATCATTATGTACTTCTTTTACATAAATATATCCATTTAAATTCTGTTTAAAAAATCATAAATATAAATATATATAAATATATATATATATATATATATATATTAGAGTTTTGCATTGACTGTTCACCTAATTTGTGAATATTGCAGAAGTAAAGCAGAAGAAAATAATACTTTTACTCAGTCGAATTGATGACATTTTTCAAGAGGTATGTTGGGTAAAATAATTACATGATTTAAATTTTTAAAAGTACATAAGTAAAGGGCATTCTTTACAAGTTGTAAAAACTTGAATGAAATACTGTACACCCTCTTCTCAGGATAAAACTCACCAACTATCATGTTCAGCTTGTTTGAATTTCTGTGTGTGTGGATGATTTAATTCAAGTGACTGGCAAGGACTTATAGTAACATTTACATAAAACAGCTATTTTTGAATTTCTGTTTGAACGTGTGGCTGATACAGATAGGATTCAAGGGATCAACAAGGACTTATGGTAACATTGAACTGAATTTTCTGTGCCGATGTACTTTTAAGGTAAACTATAAGGCACAAGGGAAATTAACACGTTTAACTGTGAAAGAAAAAAAAAACTTGGCAAAATCTTAACATTAGGGAATGGTTGATGGGAGCATTGAAAATGAATTATTAATCGAGGTCAGAAAAGTTCAAGTACTGAAAATATTTGCGCATAAGCTGGCCTTAACCTTTGCTCTCCAATTTTGGAGGTGGGGGTCGCATTGGTTTTTTACCTGGCTGATTGCTGGCTGTTTGTACTGGCTTTGACATGGCTGAAAAATTCTGCTGTGTGGTGTTTAAAACTGTCCTTGTAGGCCCAGCGTTAATGGCACCTGTGGTGGATACATTTAAATTTGAAACTTTGTACGGTGTCACATCTGGCAGATGCCTTTTGTGTTGTGAGGTCGAGGATTCTGGGATGGGTGGTGGAGGGGAGAGAGGCCCCCCCTGCAGTTTTGCCGATCCAGGCGGATGTTGCTGCAACACTGTCACTGAATATGGCCCAACACTCTGGCATTTTATTTGTTGTTGCGATTGGTGAAGGTTTGGCCTGTCACCAGCAGCTGAGAAAGGTGTACCATTTGGTGTGACTTGTGAGGAAAATACTTTAGCCAGAGAGTAGACATTATTTTTGCCGTGAGTGTAATTAGATTGAATGACATCTTCATACTCATGGTGGGCCGGTGCTGGCTCCCTGCTGCTCTTAGATGATGTCTCATTTGACTGGTTTGAGGTTGATTCCCTCCGCAAACGAGGTGGCGGCCGAGTTGGTGGAGCAGGAAAATTCTTGTTTCCTACGGCAGGAGAGTTATGATGTCGAGAGGTTACCGGGGACGAGGGTAGAGATGAAGATTGCTGGCTCATGGCCGACTAAAGAAAAGACAAAACCCATTGGTTATTTCAAAATAAATAAGTTGCCCGGCATGGCAAGTATTTAGAACAAATGCAGAAATTGATATAATTATGATATATTAAAGGAGAATTGTAGTAAGGTTGTTTATTTTTTTGGTAACATTATACAGAGCTATTTGCATTAAACAAGTTGAGAAGCTAAATAAAAATGCTTTCTTCTTACAGCTAACACATACTGTCACACTTGGTTTCATCCCATAAAAGAAAAGCAAATTCTTTCAAGAGTAAGTGGGAACCATAAGAAAAATAAAATATTTGTTTCGGAGCACATATTATTTGCTGTGAGCTACGGGAATGGTACCAATTAAAAATAGACACTAATTGTTTTACCTGGACAGACAGTTGTTGCATCTTATCTTCAGATGATGAAACCACCTGCAAATTATTCAAATCAAAATTAATCTTTTGAAAGTCAACTCTCCACCATATTCAATGCACATTTTAATGGTGTCTGATTGATTTACATTTGATACAAATATTTTTCTAAAAATCATAGAATTTTAATAAAGCTTTTTTTTAAATTGATTTTTCTTAAATTTGTACATTTAAAACAAGACCTCTGTTTGACCTGGCCCTTCGAGAGGGGCAACTAATTATCACTTATCATAAAAATTATTTAAACACTGATAATGAGAGGGGCAACTAATTATCACTTATCATAATAATTATTTAAACACTGATATTGACTGCATGACTCATCTGTACGGTAGTTAAATACAATAGTTGTACGAAACAGATTTTTACAAGATTTCTCTCAAGGGGGGACAACTTTAAAAAACAAAAAGTATGTTAACATTCTGAGTTATATATATATATTTATATATATTCTTTAACTGGTTTAATTAATTAGAGAATTCACCTTAGATTTGCCAAGAAAATCCTGTTTAATCAGATTGTCCACCATCTTTTTTGGAGGTCTAAAGACACAGTCCATGATGGAAATAACAGGAAGTCCTTTCTGCTGAAGTAGAAAAGTAATACTATTATAAGCTATTGGTCATATTCATCTAACCGGTTCTGCATCATTCCGATTTTTCAATCTAATAGGTTTGAATCAAGGACACA